ATTAGATGTTTTAGAATTTTTATATCAGTTTTCAAAAAATTGGTATGTTTTCTTTTTATGAGTGATCTTTAGTACAATATTACTCTATGAAAATAGATTGCAAGTCCTCCTTTTTCTTAGTTCTCAGTCTTTTTTATTTTTTTAAATTAATTTATTTTTTTATATATTTTTTATTTATTTCTAGGAGAGAGAGAGAGAGAGAGACAGCGTGAGCAGGGGAGGGTCAGAGAGAGAGGGAGATACAGACTCTGAAACAGGCTCCAGGCTCTGAGCTAGCAGTCAGCACAGAGCCCGACGTGGGGCTCGAACCCACGAACCACGAGATCATGACCTAAGCGAAAGTCGGATGCTTAACCGACTAAGCCACCCAGGCGCCCCTCTTAGTTCTCAGTCTTAATAGAATCTAGATGGTCTATTCTTTAAAGTTTCTTTACTAGAAGAAGGAGATGGTAAGTCTAACCACATTTTCTATTTGCTCTATTGAAATTAATATTTAAACATTGTATCTCTTCTGTGGTCAGTTTTGGTAAATAATATTTTCCTAGAAAATTATTCATTTTAGCGATATTTTAAAATTTATTAGCAAAATAATATTTTTTCATCTGTCCTCTGTATTCATGGTTATCTTCACTTTGCCATTTCTTATTTCTATGTGCTTTATTGTTTTCTTTTTTAAGTTATTTTTAATGTTTATTCTTTTTTTTTTTTTTTTTTTTTTACAAATAGTTTATTCATTTTTAAGAGAGAGCGTGAGCAGGTGAGGAGCAGAGAGAGAAGGAGACACAGAATCTGAAGCAGGCTCCAGACTTTGAGCTGTTAGCACAGAGCCCAAGGTGGGGCTTTAACCCATGAGCCTTAAGATCATGGCCTGAGATGAAGTCTGATGCTTAACTGACTTGAGCCACCCAGGCACCCCTTGCAGTTTTCTTTATATTAAGTAACGCTTTAGCTGTTTTGCTGATTTTTTTAAAGTTTATTTATTTATCTTGAGAGAGGGAGAAACAGCATGTGAGTGGAGAAGGGGCAGAGAGAGAGAATCCCAAGCAGGCTCCACACTGTCAGCAGAGTCTGACATGGAGCTCAAACCCACGAACCATGAGATCATGACCTAAGCCGAAATCAAGAGTCAGTTGCTTAACCAACTGTGCCAAGCAGGCACCGCTGATTTGTTTGTTGTTGTTGTTTTTAATGTTTATCTTTGAGAGAGAGAGAGACAGAGTGTGAGTGGGGGAGGGACAGAGAGAGAGGGACACACAGAATCTGAAGCAGGCTCCAGGCTGTGAGCCTGACACAGGGCTTGCACTCACAAACCGTGAGATCACGGCCTGAGCCTAAGTCGAACACTCGCTGACTCAACCACCCAGGTGCCCCTGATTTGTTTTTTTAAAGATGTTTTTGCTTTATGTGTTAGTTCTTTTTTTATGTTTTCTGACTAGTTATGTGTTTCTACTAATTAATTTATTCCTTCTGCTTTGCTTCAGTTTACTTTATTCTTTTTCTAATTTCTTTGATTTTTTTTTTTAATGTTTTATTTATTTCTGAGAAAGAGACAGCATGAGCAGGGGAGGGTCAGAGAGAGAGAGGGAGACACAGAATCTGAAACAGGCTCCAGGCTCTGAGCTAGCTGTTAGCACAGAGCCTGACACGGGGCTCAAACCCACGAACTGTGAGATCATGACCTGAGCCGAAGTCAGACGCTTAACCAACTGAGCCACCCAGGTGCCCCTAATTTCTTTGATTTTTAATTAATTTTTTCTCTCATGTTTATCACTGTAAATATTTTTCAAATTTTCTTCTAAGCACTGTGCTTATATTTTGTAAATACTAATGTGGATTTTTAAGTTATTATTATCATTTTCTAAAATACAAAAATACTATTTTGGAGCTTATTTCCCTATCGATCTAAAAGTTATTTAATATAGACTTCTAAAATTTCTAGTGGATTTATTTTTGGCTTTTTAAAATTTTATTATTTGTAGCCTCAATAGAAAATGTCAATATGATTTTAACTTTTTTACACAGACCATATTATAATAATTGAAAACATCCTCCTTTTTCTCTCTCATACATAACTCATTCAGCACTTAAATATTTCTCTGGCTATTTCTCCCACTGGTTTAGCATCTTCTCTCTATATCCAACATGACCCTTGTTAGCAAATTCTTCACACTCAAGTGACTGTAAGACCCTTTCTCCCTTTTAGTTAGTTCCTTACATATCACATCTTTTTCTTTGCTAAGGAGTTCATAAGAACTTCAGTAAGGTATAAACATGTTTTCCTGTGTGGAAAATCACTCGTACATATTTCTAGGAAATATAGGAATGGCTTTGCCTCTGAAGGAATGGAAAGGATACTTGAGTAAGGGGATGAGGGAGCAAAACTAGTTGAGCATTTATAAAATAGATGAGTAAAATAAGCTTAAAGAGAAATTAAGTGACTAGAACTCTTTAGCACTTTTATTGTGTTGCGGAGACAAAAAATAACTCATAGCTATGTGAAGGGAAGAATGGGTATAGATAAGGGGTTTAAGCAATAAAAGGATATATAGGAATATGCAACCATCATTTTCCATTTATGTATTTAGCTATAATAGCTTGGATTAATAAAGGGGATATTTAATCATTGTTATCATATGTGAGAGATTAGAGACAGAAATATATTCAGAATGTGTATATAACCATGGGAATTAAAACAATAAAACCCATTATGTGCTATGCATGTATTATTTAATGGAGAGTAGATTATTTCTGGCATTGAAGAAGTTTAGGGGTAAGAAAACAGAGAAACAATTGGAAAAATTAATAAATATGTAATTTAAATATATAATATTTAACAGATATATGTTGATATATAATACACATATATTATAGTCAGTGCAGAGACTGATGCAGGGCTCAAACTCATGAACCAGAAAATCATGATCTGAGGCAAAATCAAGAGTCAGGTGCTTAACCGACTGAGTGACCTGGGTGCCCCAACAACATAGGTTGAGAGTCAGCCTTAAAGGAAATAACTTTTTTTTTTTTTTTTTACAAATAGTTCATTGTCAAGTTGGTTTCCATATAACACCCAGTGCTCATCCCCACAAGTGCCCTCCTCCATGCTCATCTCCTCCCTCCCCCCCCACACCCATGAGTCCTCAGTTTGTTCTCAGCATTCAAGAGTCTCACATGGTTTGCCTCTCTCCCTTTCCCCCACCATTTCCCCCCTTCTTCTCTCCCATGGTCCTCCGTTAAATTCCTCCTAATCCTCCTATACGTGCAAACATATGATATTTGTCCTTCTCTGCCTGACTTATTTCGCTCAGCATAACACCCTCAAGTTCCATCCATGTTGCTACACATGGCCAGATTTCATTCTTTCTCATTGCCATGTAGTATTCCATTGTATAGATAAACCACATCTTCTTGATCCATTCGTCCATTGATGGACACTTAGGCTCTTTCCATGTTTTGGCTATTGTTGAGAGTGCTGCTATGAACATCGGGGTACATGTGCCCCTATGCATCAGCACTCCTGTATCCCTTGGGTAAATTCCTAGCAGTGCTATTGCTGGGTCATAGGGGAGTTCTATTGTTAATTTTTTGAAGAACCTCCATACTGTTTTTCAGAGGGGCTGCACCAGTTTACATTCCCACCAACAGTGTAGGAGGGTGCCCGTTTCTCCACATCCTCGCCAGCATCTAGAGTTCTCTGATTTGCTCATTTTAGCCACTCTGACTGGCATGAGGTGGTATCTCAGTGTGGTTTTGATTTGTATTTCCCTGATGAGAAGGGATGCTGAGCATCGTTTCATGTGTCTGATGGCCATCTGGATGTCCTCTTTGGAGAAGTGTCTGTTCATATCTTCTGCCCATTTCTTTACTGGGTTGTTTGTTTTTTGGGTGTGGAGTTTGGTGAGTTCCTTATAGATTTTGGATATTAACCCTTAAAGGAAATAACTTTTAACCTAAGACCTCAGGATGAGAAGTAGCCAGCTATGCAAAGAGTCCAAGCAGATTTATGGAAGATAGATGTGAAATGATATGTTGTTATAGGTAAGCGGAGGCCTTTTAACCACAGCAAGTTTGATTTTATTCTAAGAATAAAGAGAAATTGTTGAAAAAAGTTAAGTATGAATTCTTAACCTTTCATCTCCATCAGAACCATGTGGAGAATATTAAATATCAGACTGGCCAGGATTGTAGAATCTGATCTAGGTGGTTTAGGTAGTGTGTAAACTTCAGTATTTATAACAAGTTCTCTGTGATTCTACTCCACATTTCAGCTTGATACCCACTCAAAATGTTTACTAATCACCAGTCTTTCTTCTTTTTTAATTAATTTATTTTGAGAGAGAGAGAGAGAGAGAGGATCCCAAGCAGGCTCCACTCTGTCAGCGCAGAGCCCCATGCAGGGCTCGATCTCACAAACCATGAGATCATGACCTGAGCTGAAACCAAGAGTCAAATGCTTAATCAACAGAGCCACCCAGGCACCCCACTAGTCTTAATTTCTTAACATGAACTTTCATTTTTCCTGGTGTTACTGTATGCTCTTTTTTTTCAAATTGCATAACAGCATTTTCAGAATTTCATTGAGTATTACTTTTGTTGTCTTTTATTTCCACTGTAGAAATTTTACTTCTTTTAAAAAAGGAAACTGTGTGTTTGCTCTCTTATTTTCTTTCAGATTTAGAGACCACGTATGAGACCAAGAAGTTATCCTCAGAAAATGACATTTATGAAATAAACTTACCTCAATGGAAAATAATGGAAAGAATTAAAAACCATGGCCTTAAGGGTCTAATTTTAAAAAGTGACTGGGAATCTAAAAAAAAATTTGAAGGACAGGAGGAATATTTCAGTCAAGTGAAAATTACATCTCAAAAAGTGTCATCTTACCAAAAACGTACATCTCTACCTCCACATCAGAGAATTCATTTTGTGGAGAAACCCTATGAATGTAAAGAATGTGGGAAGGCCTTTAGAGTACGCCAACAGCTTACTTTTCATCACAGAATTCATACTGGTGAAAAACCCTATGAATGTAAGGAGTGTGGAATGGCCTTTAGACAGACTGCACACCTTACTCGACATCAGAGACTTCATTCTGGTGAAAAACTCTATGAATGTAAGGAATGTGGAGAATCTTTTATATGTGGCCCAGACCTTAGAGTACATCAGAAAATTCATATTGGTGAAAAGCCCTATGAATGTAAAGAATGCGGGAAAGCCTTCAGAGTGCGCGGACAACTTACTCTCCATCAGAGGATTCATACTGGTGAGAAACCCTATGTATGTACAGAATGTGGAAAGGCCTTTAGACAGTATGCACATCTTACTCGACATCAGAAGCTTAATATTGCTGACAAACTCTATGAATGTAAAGAATGTGGGAAGGCCTTTTTATGTGGCTCTGGCCTTAGAGTACATCACAAACTTCATACTGGTGAGAAACCCTATGAATGTAAGGAATGTGGGAAGGCCTTCAGAGTGAGACAGCAACTAACACTACACCAGAGAATTCATACTGGTGAGAAACCCTATGAATGTAAGGAATGTGGAAAGACCTTTAGTCGTGGCTATCATCTTATTCTTCATCACAGAATTCATACTGGTGAGAAACCTTACGAATGTAAGGAATGTTGGAAGGCGTTTAGTCGTTACTCACAACTTATTTCACACCAAAGTATCCATATTGGTGTTAAACCTTATGACTGCAAGGAATGTGGGAAGGCTTTTAGATTACTCTCACAACTTACACAACATCAGAGTATTCATATTGGTGAGAAACCCTATAAATGTAAGGAATGTGGGAAGGCCTTTAGATTGCGCCAAAAACTTACTTTACATCAGAGCATTCATACTGGTGAAAAACCCTTTGAATGTAAGGAATGTAGGAAGGCCTTTAGACTTAATTCATCCCTTATTCAGCATCTGAGAATTCATTCTGGTGAGAAACCCTATGAATGTAAGGAATGTAAGAAGGCCTTTAGACAACATTCACACCTTACCCATCATCTGAAAATTCATAATGTAAAAATATAAGATAGTTTTTCAATTCTAGAGTGTTGTAGAACACTCTATGAATTTAGTAATTAATCCCTTTTGTTTCCTTCATACAGGTAATTGACTTGGCATAAGAGGTTTTATATCATTAAAAAAATGTTAATTTAATGTATTCCACCATCACTTAATCCTGATAAACTTCACATTTATTCTAAAAACTAATCCTATCAATGTGACAAATATGGGAGACACTTACCTCTGTCCTGTCACTTACCTACTTGTATTATATTGACAAGATGCTTAACTGTTCTGTGCTATATTTTTTTCATTGTAAATGGTAATACAGTACTGTGACAGAATAAAGATTGTTGCAAATTGTTTGACATTCTCCCCTCCCCCCATCAAGATCTGGAATCTACATCCATTCTTAAGGCTGGGTAGACCATGTCTTTGACTAACATAAGTACTGCTGTGCCAGTTTCCAGGTTTTACTGGTAGATTTTACTTCATCTCTTGGAGTGCTCCTTTAAGCATAGGCTGTGAATTCTGTTAAAAAGTCTGGCTGCTCTGCTGAAGAGACCACATACAGAAGCCCTAAGTTCACAAAGAAAGGAAGAGGCACCCTTCAGAGCTCAGTCTTCCACACATGCCTACCAAGACACCAGACGTTTAAGTGAAATAGTGTTGGATCCTCCAGACAACCCGGCAACTGAGTGCCATTGAGTGACTTCAGTTGATACCATATAAAACAGATGAATCAACTAAACCCCTGCCCAAATTCCTGAGCCACAAGATCATGAGATACAATAAAATGATTGTATTTTAAGCCACTAAATTTTGTTTTATTATTATCATTAATATTACTCCTTTGAAAATTCATATGAAAGACTATAGGCACAATGAATATAGAAATGCCTTCCACCAACACTCACCCTTATTGAACTTCAGATAACTTACTCTTTTTAAAATAGTAGAAGTCAGAAATTGTTTTTCAATTTGTTCATAAAAAACCAGATATTCTACAGTCTACACTCTCTGGCCCAAGTCTAAATTTAATTTAAAATTAACAAAGAATAATGTAAACAGAAACTTTGAAAATTAGAAATTACTTGTAACTCCTGTGTTGATTTTAAAAAATACATTGTAGCCTTTTTTGTGCTCTGATTGTCCTATCTTTCATCAGTGGGAATCCCCTCAAATTGGTTCCTATGTCCTTTTGTCATGACAAAAGCTTTTGATAGCTTCCTTTTTTCCTGACCAAATGCACTGGTCAGGAATGAACCATATTAGGACACTTAATGATAAATAAAGGGGAAAAGTGGAGCATTTATTTTGTCTTTCCCTTATGACCTATATTTTAAGACAACCTAAAGTTGGTGAAGAAAAGTTCTTTAATATTATTAGAGAAGTCTAGTTAATAAAGATCAAAGGAATGACAGAATTTGAAAAATCACTCTTTAATTCCTGAAGTAATAGATATTGATGGTGATATCAATGGATGCAAAAAGATCATTAGGTGAAAAAGATTGATAGGAAGCTTTTAATGGAGCAGAATGACAGAACCTACTAATCTGTGTTAACATCTCAATTAGATCAGCCCTGCTATTTGCATCTTGCTTGTGCAGTGGCTATATGTAGCATCATTTGTAAGTGTTCTTACCCCAAATGTTGACGTAGAAGTAAACGTTAGTCTCTAAATCTAATTACCAGGATACAGGAAACTTGGGGAATAAAGGAACAAATTAATGACACAAAGAAGCAAACAACCAAACCCAGAATGTGCAAAATTCCACAGAATAAATGGTCTTGGTTCTTAACCAATAGGTTAAGACAAAATAAAAACAATGTTGCAAATCAAAAGATACTTACGATGGGGTGCCTGGGTGGCTCAGCCGGTTAAGCGTCCAATTTCAGCTCAGGTCATGATCTTGGGGTTTGTGGGTTCGAGCCTCGCATCAGGTTCTGTGCGGACAGCTAAGAGTCTGGATCCTGTTTCAGATTCTGTGTCTCCCTCTGTCTCTGCCCCCTCCCCCACTCATGCTTCTTTCTCAAAAATAAGTAAACTATAAAAAATTTTTTAAAAAAGAGACTTAAGAGACATATCAATTAAATACAATGTATGGTATGTATTGGGATCCTTGTTTTAAAATGTATCCAGGATTTGTTTTAATCAATTATGATACAACATGCAGATACAGAAATGATTGTCATAAAGAAAGAAGTTTATACTCAAAGAACTCTAAAAACAACAGGCAACAGCATGCCCACAGAGCCACATGGGGAAGTACCCAGTTCTGTTGGGAGGCAGAAGTGGGGAGAGGGCCAGAGCATGGCAAAGAGCCTTTGCTGAAGTTTTCTCCAAAGAATGGGTTACACTGGTTAAGTACACTCAGAAAGTTTGGGAATGGATAATGTTTTTTTTTTTTTAAGGTTTTTTATTTTGAGAGAGAGAATGTGTGCAGGAGGGGCAGAGAGAGAGAATCCCAAGCAAGCTCCACACTACAAGTGCAAGGAGCCTGACGCGGGGCTTGAACTCATGAACCCATGAGATTGTTACCTGTGCTGAAATCAAGAGTCAGATGATGCTTCATGGACTGAGCCACCCAGGTGTCCCTGGATAGTTTTAATAATTTTGGCAGGCTCTGAGGTATAGGGGTGTCCCTAGTTGTCTGGTACCTGGCCCTGGGATGATTTGTGCAGGAGGAATATTGGCTTGGTGTGTGAGAGTTTGATGGAACAGCTGGGGCTTTAGCTTGGTGGGTTTGATTAAAAGAGTTGTTTGCTATCTCTAGGAATTTGCTACTCCTGGGAAGGGTAGTCTCTCCAGGACCAAGTCCCCAAATGCCAGAGCATAATTAACAGAAAATAAAATATGTTCAATACAATCTTGATTTGGACAAATGAAAACATTGTGTACATTGTTTTGAAAATGTAAACCTAGAGTGGATATTAAGTTATATTAAGCAATTATTCATTTTTTTAGCCATGATAATGGCATCATCACCAATTATTAATGTGTGTATAAGTCCTTATACACTAGAGATTCATACCAAAGTATTCAAGGGTGAAATTACATCATGTCTATGACTTGCTTTAAAATACTTCAGAAATGGGACACCTGGGTGGCTCAGTTAGGCATCCGACTTCGGATTCAAGCCCTGCATTGGGCTCTGTGCTGACAGCTCAGAAGCCTGGAGCCTGCTTTGGATTCTGTTTTTCCTTCTCTCTCTCTCTGCCCCTCCCCTGCTCATGCTTATCTCTCTCTCTCTCTCTCTAAAATAAATAAACATTAAAAAAATAGAATGAAAGTAATTAAATACTTCAGAAAAGGGGTGCTTGAATGGCTTAGTCAGTTAGATGTCTATTGAGTTTGGCTCAGGTCATGAGATAGAACTCTGAGCTGAGAATGGAGCCTGCTTAGGATTCTGTCCCTCCACCGCTACTCATGCACTCTCATAAATAAATAAATATAAATATAGGAAGGGAGGAACAGATGGAATAAGACTGGCAACTGCTAACTCTTGAAGCTGTATAATGGGTACCTTGGGTTCATTGTGCTATTCTTACTGCCTTTGCATATATTTGAAAATATCCATAATAAAGCTTTGTGTAAGTAGAAAATCAAATCTGAATATTTTTTCTTTTTTTTAAATGTTTAACATTTATTCATATTTGAGAGACAGAGTGTGAGCAGGGGAGGGGCAGAGAGAGAGGGAGACACAGAAACCAAAGCAGGCTCCAAGCTCTAAGCTGTCAGCACAGAGCCTGACGCAGGGCTCAAACCCACAAACCACAAGATCATGACCTGAGCTGTAGTCTGATGCTTAACCAACTGAGCCACCCAGGTGCCCCATCAAATCTGAAATTTTAGACCACTTAGTGATAAATGATAATGTGATGCCTACAAATAAAAAATTATTGGGGCGCCTGGATGGCTTAGTCGGTTAAGCGTCCGACTTTCGCTTGGGTCATGATCTCGCGGTTCGTGGGTTCGAGCCCCGCGTCGAGCTCTGTGCTGACTGCCAGCTCAGAGCCTGGAGCCTGTTTCGGTCTGTGACTCCCTCTCTCTCTGACCCTCCCCTGCTCACGCTGTCTCTCTCTATCTCTCTCCTAGAAATAAATAAAACATTAAAAAAAAAATTAAAAAAAAATTATGGAAAATCACCAAAGGTCTATTTGTTAAGAAATAAATAACCTTAATGCATTTAGGAAACCTGGATTGAGGAACTAGTATTTATCTTGTTTACCACTCTGTCCCCACACTTATAGTGCCTGTCATATAATAGGCAGTTGACTTTTTTTTAAGTTTATTTATTTATGGGGGGGGAGAGGGGGGCAGTAGGAGTGTGAGAGCAAGAGAGAGAGAGAGAGAGAGAGAGAATCCCAAGCAGGCTCCATGCTGTCAGCACAGAGCCCAATGTGGGGCTTGAACTCACAACCTGTGAGATCATGACCTGAGCAAATCCAAGAGTCTGACACTTAACCAACTGAGCCACCCTCGTGCCCCTAACAGGCAGCTGATTTTGAAAGTTGGGAAAAAAACACAATCGTTTGATCCAGAAAATAATTTTTATTTTAAAAACTTTTTTAAATGTTTTATTTTTGAGGGAGAGAGAGAGCGTGATCAGGGGAGGGTCAGAGAGAGACAGAGACACAGAATCCAAAGACAGGCTCCAGGTTCTGAGCTGTCAGCACAGAGCCCGATGCAGGGCTCGAACCCATGAGCCGTGAGATCATGACCTGAGCCGAACTTGGGCACTTAACTGACTGAGCCACCCAGGAGCCCCCAGAAAATAATTTTTAATAAAAATGTTTAAAACTAACCTAGGTACCACAAAGTAATTCATACAATAAAGTAGAAATTAATGAAATAGGTAATAAAATCCTTATCCAAGGGTGTTCTCTTTGAAAAAGGCCATTAATATAGAATTGGCAGTTATTGAGGAAAAAAAGACTCAATTTCAACTTTATATATATGAAAGGTGAAACAGCTACATGTATCAAAGAGAATTAAAAATTTTAAAGTTATATGTATTACTATATACATATATTTCAATATCTATAAAAATATAGAGAATGAATTGTCTGGAGAAAACTAAATCACCACAGTTGACTCAAGATACTAAAGAAAACCTGAACGGATCTATAAGCAAAGAAAAATGTTGTAATTATGATATTTTTTTAAAACTACAACAGTTTTGCAGCCAATATAAAAGTAAGCAACATAGTTTAATACCATTAATACATATAATAATTTATAATAAGGTTTTACGAAGCTGCCTGAAAATCCCAATAAGAATTCTCAACAAAGTTAATTACAAGTTGAAAGGGAAACCCCATCACATTATTCTGAGAATGTAGTTAATGAAACTAAGTGCAATCATAATCTGAATATTTTATTCAGTGGAGACTTAAACTCATTAATTTAGGTATTAGGCCTGGAGTTGTGTGCTCACATGAAGACTGCCATGCTCAAAGCAGATTGTACTGTACTAGTTTAAATTCAGCCCTTTGTCCCCCAAGATGGGCCCCACATGTGGAGATCTGTCCATGGTGCTGCATCAATCCCTTGATGCAGTTATATGGTTCAAACCACCCAGCAAGGGAAGAGCTTGAGAGAACTTCAGGGATCATTCTTGCCTTAGGTTCACCACACTATTGGTTTCAAAGATGATTAGAAATTTTAAAGAAACTGAAGAACTGGGGGATCAACATAGTGTACTAACTTCCACTTTTGCCAAGGAAGGACATTTCATAAAATGTCTTCAATTCCACATATGAATGAAATCATATGGTATTTGTCTTTTTCTGACTGACTTATTTCACTTGGCATAATACACTCTAGCTCCATCCCATCGTTGCAAATGGCAAGATTTCATTCTTGTTGATGGCTGAGTAATATTCCATCACATATAAATACCACATCTTCCTTATCCATTCATCAGTCAGTGGATATCTGGGCTTTCTCCATAGTTTGTTTATGCTGATAATGCTGAGATAGCCATGAGTTCTTAAATAGAATACAAAAAGCACTAACTATAATGGAGAAAAATGATAAATTTTACTATATTACATTTAAGAATCTATTTCAGCAAAAAACAAGAAAGTGAAAAAAGTCACAGAGAGAATACATTTTATATTTACATATATAATATATGATATAGTATATGGTAATATAAGTTAATATAAAATATATACATTTATATAATATATAAATGTTAAATATTTAATAATATAAACAATGTTAATAAAATATTAAATATATCATATATTTGACCTACTCATCCACAATATGTAAAGAACCCCAACAGATCAATAAATGACAGAAAATCAAACAGGAAAAAAAAAGAAAATCCATAGGAAATAGGAAACAAAAACTCAAATAAGCACTTCAAAAAAATGGATATCCAAATGGACAATAAAGATATTAAAAGTTGCTCAAGTTCATTATTAAGAAAGTGGAAAAATTAAAACCACAATGTGATAAGTATACACCCTCCAGAATAGCTAATGGGAAAAAATATGTACAAAGTGCTTGCGCATAATGCCATGGAGTGTTCAAGCCTTTGACAATATGCTAGTGGATACTAAAGACAAGATTCCCAATCTTCAGGAAAATCTGGGAAGAAGACAACCAGTGAGTATCTAACTAGGAAAACTTCAGATTCTGATAAAGGCCATGAAGAGAAAGATGTTGGGAAGGACAATACTAGAGGGGGACAATTCAGTCGGTCATTTCATCTGAAGTATATACAGTATCCCTAGTGGTAGCAGTACAGGTTTTAGGTAAGACTGAGAAAGAAAAGCTACCAAAGTGTCCTCGTCCTACCAGATATTTAAAGTACTAAAAAGTCCTTAAATAATCAAATGGTACTCATGCAGGAACAGACCAGTGGAATAGAACAGAAAGTCCATAAAGAGACCCAAAAATATAGGAGATTTTAATACATGAAGGGATGAGGAAGTGACACTTCTCTAAGTATACCTTTCTGTATATTTTTCACTTTGGGGACGATGTTAACGTTTTACATATTTAGACATAGAGAAGACCCTACATTGGAATATAAACAGAAACAAATATTTCCCCACACTACAGGGGAAAAAGCTAACCCAAGCAACTTTTTTTAAAAGTTTATTTTTGACGGGCGCCTGGGTGGCTTAGTCGGTTAAGCGTCTGACTTTCGCTTAGGTCATGATCTCACGGTTCGTGGGTTCGAGCCCCGCGTCGGGCTCTGTGCTGCCAGCTCAGAGCCTGGAGCCTGTTTCAGTCTGTGACTCCCTCTCTCTCTGACCCTCCCCTGCTCACGCTGTCTCTCTGTCTCCTAGAAATAAAAAAAATTAAAAAAAAAAGTTTAGTTTTGAGAGAGAGAGAGAGAGAGAGAGAGAGAGCGCATGAGTACGGAGAGGAACAGAAAGAGGGAGGGACCGAGGATCTGAAGCAGGCTCTGCACTGACAGCAGCGAGCCTCATGCAGGACTCAAACTCATGAGCATGAGATCATGACCTGAGCCAAAGGCTGATGCTCAGCCAACTGAGCCACCCAGGTGCCCCAAGCAGCTTTTTTTGAGGTAAGCTCTACACCCAACATGGGGCTTAAACTAATGACCTCAAGACAAAGAACCATATGCTCTACGAACTGAGCCAGCCAGGTGCTCCTAACCCAAGCAACTTTTGAAAGACAACTTGACTGTATTCGCTCAGCCAAAAACAGAATGGGAGGAAAAAAGCAAACAACCATAAACAAATAGCTAGCTAGTAGGATGATTTGCACAATGATATAGATTGCAATTCTGAAATTACTACTTCATATATTCTAGAATCAAGAAAAAAAGTAAATCTATTATGGTATTAAGTTAATATAATGGGAGCAAAGCTTGTCACTGCTGGAGAAGGTAATTGCAATATGGAGAGAAGGAGGCTAGATGAACCCCGTGGTGTTGCGTTGCAAATGGAGGTTATCACTATAAAGTCATATATTTATGCGTTTTTTTAAAGTAATCTCTGCACCCAAAGTGGGGCTCCAACTCACCACCCCAAGATCAAGAGTCAGATGCTCTACTGACTCAGCCAGCCAGGTTGCTCATATTTGTCAGGGTCTCATATTTTACATGGAGTGGTGCAATATTAATCCTAAGTAAACTATGTTTAATAAGAATGCATATTTTAATCCCCAGAGCAACCTCTAACAAGATGCATAAAGGTATAGCTAAAGTGCCAACAGAAGAATTCAAATATATCAGAAAAAATTATCAATTCCCCCAAAAAGACAGGAAAGTAGTTAATAAAAAATGTGGCAAATAGATATCAACCAAATAGTAAACATAAGTCCAACCAAGTTAATAGTAACATAGATATAACTGGACTAAGTATTTTCAATGAAAAGCCAGAGACATGTAATTTGTGAAACCCAAATTACATGATATTTACCAGAAATGTATATTAAATATAAAATCACAGGTAGGTTCAAGAAAAAAAAATTAAAAAAGATATACTAGCCAAGTAGTAAGCATAAGAAAACTGTAGTGACTATACTGATACTAGACAAAATAGATGTTAAGATGAGACACAGAGGGGCGCCTGGGTGGCTCAGTCGGTTAAGTGTCCAACTTCGGCTCAGGTCATGATCACACGGTTCGTGGGTTTGAGCTCCGCGTTGGGCTCTGTGCTGACAGCTAGCTCAGAGCCTGGAGCCTGCTTCAGATTCTGTCTCTCCCTCTCTCTCTGACGCTCACGCTGTTTCTCTCTCTCAGAAATAAAACATTAAAAAAGAGAGAGAGAGACATAGAGAGGCGCCTTGGTAGCTCAGTTAGCTAAGCATCTATCTGACTGTGGCTCAAGTCATGATCTCATGGTTTGTGGGTTCCAGCCCTGCACTGGGCTCTGTGCTGATAGCTCAGAGCCTGAGGCCTACTTCAGATTCTGTGTCTCCCTCTCTCTGCTCCTCCCCCTGCTCATGCTATGTCTCTCTCTCTCTCTCTCAAAAATGAATAAACATATAAAAAATTTTTTTAAAAAGACAAGAGACACTGAGAAATATTTCATAGTAGAAGGATCAATTCATTGGGAACACACACAATCATAAACGTGCATACACTATTTACACAGCTTAAAAATACATGATAAAAACTGAATGAACTAAAGGGAGAAATAGACAAATCCAGAACTGTATTTTCATGTATCTCCTACTTCACATATATTCTATTTGCAAAATGAGACTTAATAAGATTGGCCTTGACATTTTCAAATAATGTCTAAAGTTTTATATTCTTGAGAGAACTACTGTATCAAAATATCTGAAATGGGGAGGATGCTACAGTGGTGGGTAAGTCTTGGTGGGCTTCACATTTCTTTCCTGAACCAAACCCACGCCATGACGAATTCAATTATTAGCGACCTGAGAAAAATTTTTGAAGATACTCTTCCTAATGTTCATTTTTCAAGCCTCTTCATCAGAAAGACAGTATATGTATGTATATACATATATTTAACAAAGCTCAAAAATACTTGAAGCAAAACCTGATAGAACTAAAGGAAAAACAGTAATAGACACACCTTATAGTCCCCCCTCCCCCCAACTTATCTTCAGAGGACACATTTCAAGACCCTCAAGGGACGCTATATATATATATATATACACACACACTTTTTTTCTATACATCCATACCTATAATAAAGCTTAATTTATAACAGGCACAGAAAGAGATTAACAATAATAATGAAATAGAACAATTATAACACTGTGCCGTAATAAAAGTTACGTGTGTCTTTTCCTCTTAAACTATATTATTGTATTGTACTCACCCTTCTTCTTATGATGTGATTTGATAAAATGCCTAGTAATGAATGAAGTGAGGTGAGCGATGTACACATTCTAACACAGCATTAGGTTACTACTGACCTTCTCCCCAAAGGATTGTCAGCTTCCGGAAGGCAACTGACTGCCGGCACCTGAAACTGAGGAAAAAGAAATGGCGCCGATAAGGCGGGGACAATTTTATCAACCATCTTAACCTAACAATTTATAGAACAATATCTTCACAACTGCAGGAAGGAGAAAAACCGAGAGGAGGAAGGAAGGAGTGGAAGGCGGGAGCGTGAGCAAGCACGGGGGGACCATTCCGTGTCGTCCTGCTCCCGGTTCTGTTACGGTTTGGGGATGTTTTTATTAAGTACTTGATGTGTATATATTTGGGCATATTAAGCACCTGCTGTGCACCTAGTACATACATTATGTGCTTGTTGGTGCCAAGTGCATTCTAAGCCATACGAAGGCTTCCTCAGCTGCAAACACAAAGCCTGGCTCGCAGCCCTAGGCAGCCTTAAAGCCCCTCCCCGGGTAGCCCACCGACAAACCCAAAGTGCTGTCCGGCAATCTCGCTCTCTCCGGCTAGCTAGCATTCGCGCTTGCGCATTCCAAGCAACAAGTTGGGGCGGGGCCGGGCTCTCCTTACCGAAGACTACAGTTCCCACAGGCCTCTGCTCGTAGTTTCCTTCCGGCTTTCTTGCTGGTGTCGGCTCCGAGAGGTGAGTTGGTCGCGTGCATTGAGGAAATGGGCGCGGGGGCGGCGCGGGGGCGGCGCGGGCCTCTGTGTGAACTGGGTTGCCGAGACTGTGGGATTTGTGACGCTACTGGGCATTGGGTGCCTTGAGTCCTTTCCCTTTCCGCTTAAGTGCCGCACAAATCTCTCGGCCCAGAATGGCTCCGAGTACATGTATGAACCCCAGAGTGAAGGCCCCCCAACAAAAAGACGCGGTCTCGAGAACCGCCGCTCTTAGAACCACAGCTTAATCAGAGCTCCCTTGTAAGGAAGCTCGAAGACGGATTCTAGACATGGCCTTTGTACTTGAGCTTTACCCCTGGCTCCCTCTTAATTTTCATCGGGTTATGTGCGTGGTGGATGGTGGGAGCAAATGTGATAGCGGGGGTGTGTTCTGAGTTAGCCAGGCTGGGGTGAGTTCCAAGAAAAGCTCAGTGTCTCAAGATTCCCGTCTCCCCACGCCCCCCCCAATCCTGCTGATCATTAGGAAGAAGAGAAAAAGGAGGAAATGACCGTTTTAATGTCTATATCTATTTGTCTATCTAAAGTATATCGGGACGAATTTGTGTTTCTTTGTTCTGTGAAATGTAACTTTTTTCTGTGCATGGTTTGAAACCTTTGCGTCTCTGGGGAAAGAATGAAAATCAGCGCGGACTGAAAAGAGAAAAATCATTTGCATAAATCAGGCTGGGAGACAGGAGACAGATAAAGGCAGCTGCAAAATAGAAAGTAATATTTCATCCAGTAACTGTAAAATGCAGTAACAACTCCCTCTTTGAAATATCACAGCTGTTTTACCAGTGATGCTCCACACTCGCTTTGCTATTTTTTTTTTTTTATTACTGGAGATATCCAATTGCTAAACTACCCTCCTTTCAAGATAGCACTTAATCTCCAGTTAATCCCAACCTTTCCTAGTTTACCTCAGAAACCGCAACCATTCTAAAATTGTTCCCCTCTTCCCATACATCCTCTTCAGAGTCCTTCAGTTGGAACTCAGCACTTTACAAAAGAGCTTTTCTTCTCCTCCATTGCATTCCAACCCTTCCTGTGGAATTTCCTCCCTCTCTTAAGTCAATAAACCTGATTTTGTTGGACTATACAGGCTTGTTCCAGGTTAGGCTTTAACACAGGAAATATCCTATCCATAGACCTGGAGCTTTGCTCTTCTTTCCCAGTGAATGATAGGGGTGATGAGGTTACCTCCTGCCTCCTCTCCGGTGGGTATTCACATGAACATTTGGCAGTTGTTTAATTCCCCTGTGAGCTGCTACTTTCTAATCATTTAAAAGGCTTGCAAGTAAACCTCCTGAAGGGAGGCCAACTGCAGAGCTTTATTTTAGGCTTTGATTTGTTGAGAGGATTACAGTTTAGTTGGAATCATATGCTAGGTGTCTTTGATCTTCACCTGTGCCCTGAATTCAGAAGCAGGGAAAGGTTGGAGAAGGTTTGATTGGTGACAGGGTTTTCTGCTTTTGAGGCTTGTAAGGAATTGCAATGTGACAGGGTTTTTAAGGTAGAGGACTTTGTTAACAAGGGAAGGGAATGGAAGATGCTGGTAGAAACTTGAGAAATGGTTTGAAGTTTTTGACAGCATGAGTTGTTTCATGCCATATATTTATGTGGTCTTATGATAGGCAGTTTAGTTATGGCACTAAATTACCAGTGTTCTAGTCCTAAAACTGCCAGGTTAGAGCTGGGTGAATTGGGGTAATTTATTTCATTTCTTTGTGTCACAGTTCCTTAATCTGTAAGAGGATGATGACAGAACCTACTGTATAGGATTGCTATGAATAGACGAATTAATATATAAAGTCCTTAGGGGGCACCTTTGTGGCTCAGTCGGTTGGGGGTGTGTGATTTTGGCTCAGGTCGTCATCTCGCAGTTCGTGAGTTCAAGCCCCACATCAAGCTCTGTGCTGACAGCTCAGATGAAATGTTTTTTAAAAAATTCTGTCTCTCCCTCCCTGTCTGACCCTCCCCTGCCCACACTGTCTCTCTCTCTCAAAAAAAAAAAATAAATAAATAAAATAAAGTCCTTAGATAATGCTTGACAAAAAGAGCGCTCAGTAGATTTTATTGTTCCTCTTATGTTATAATTCATATTTGCTTCATCATCCACATACCCCCTTTTGTAAATTGTTTTTAATCAGGAGAAATTGCTTATCAATGTGAAGTTTGAAATTTATTAGCTAGCGCTGTAAGAAAGAGCAAGGCCAAGAAGCTCAAATTTTTTATGGATGAAGAAAAGAGCAGAAGATAATTTTCTTTATAATTAGGGGAAGAAAAGTATATAGTATTCTTCATCTTCAGTGCTATAGCTGACTTCTCTTTAATGTTTATTTCTACTGTAAGTGCTTTCTTATATGTAGTGTCTTATTTAATCCTCATAACACCCCTTTGAGATAGAATTTATAATTATTGCCATTTTTTTTAATAGGAGGCAACTAAGGGTGAAAAGTTAAGTAACATGTCCAAGATCACACAGTTAATAACTATCAGAGCTGAGATTTATATACTGGAAGTGTCACACTAAAGTTCATATTAGTAATTTTAACGGTATACCAAGTCTCATCATTATGTATACTTAAAAAAATTTGGGGCGCCTGGGTGGCTCAGTTGGTTAAACGTCCGACTTAGACTCAGGTCATGATCTCACAGTTTGTGGGTTCAACCCCCGCGTCGGGCTCTGTGCTGACAGTTCAGAGCCTGGAGCCTGCTTTGGATTCTATGTCTCCTCTCTCTGCCCCTCCCCAAATTATAATCTGTCTCTCTCTGTCTTTCAAAAATAAATAAATGTAAAAACATTAAAAAATAAATTCTCCCTGTCTTACTCAATAACCCATCATGATTGAAGGAAGAGATACTAATCTGATGACAGCAAGAATTAACAAATTTTGCCCAGATTATACTGAAGCTATGAGGTCTGGAGGTAATGGATTTCCTACAGTAAGATTTATGTTGGGGCTCCTGGGTGGCTCATTCAGTTGAATGTCTGACTTTGGCTCAGGTCATTATCTCATGGTTTGTGGGTTCCAGCCCTGAGTCAGACTCTGCGCTAACAGCTTAGAGCCTGGAACCTGCTTTGAATTTTGTGTCTCTTTCTGCCTGTTCCTGCCTATGTGCTTGCTCTCTCTCTCTCTCTCTCTCTCTCTAAGATAAACAAACTTGGGGTGCCTGGGTGGCTCAGTCGGTTAAGTGGCCAACTTTAGCTCAGGCCATGATCTCGCCATTCCTGAGTTTGAGCCCCGCATCGGGCTCTGTGCTGACAGCTCAGAGCCTGGAGCCTGCTTCTGATTCTGTGATTCCCTCCCTCTTTCTGCCCCTCCCCTGCTCACACTCTGTCGCTCTGTCTCTCAAAAATAAATAAACATTAAAGAAAATAACAAACTTAAAAAGAACTGAAACATGAAGAAAAAAGAATTTATTAAAAAAAAGATTTATGTCACATAGAGTTTTTTTTTTTTAATTTTAATTCCAATGTAGTTAACAGTGTCTCACAGTTTTTATTTTAAGGATGTTTTACACAAAGACTTGTAGGACAAGGAAATCCTATAGCCATTGGAGGCTTCATAGGCATCTTAGCCCAGTGGATTGGCTCAGAAGCAAAGTCAAGTCATTTCTCAGTAAGATGTGAAAGGAAGCAGTGATGAGATGACCATCAGTACTTAAAAGACTGAAGTACTTAAAAGTCAGAGACTTTTTACCATTGATTTCTAGATTGTACTCCAGCATACATGGGAAATGCAATCATAGATGTGGTTCATGAATTAGAAAGTGAAGTAAAAAAGAAGTCACTTGGGAAAAACACAGTTGTTCTTACTTAGAACATCCTGAACTTTTTTTCTCAGTTCAACAGAAGACTAAAAGAAAACCTTGAAATGGGAAAATCTTTCCATATTTGGAGTATTTGTGTACTTTAATATGTTTAATATGGTGGTGAGTTTTGCTGGCTGTTACTGTAAACATTTTAACTGGTCCTCCTAGGCATACATGTGGTTTTTTTCCTGTCAAAATAGTGTAATGCTACACATTGGGATTTTTTTTTTAAACACACTGGCTTCACCTGTTTCATCAAAATTAGGGCAACATCATCACTTTAATATTTGGCTGGTTTTCAGTGGTACAGATGCCCTACTGTTTAATCATTTCCCCAATTAGATTCTTTTCAACTTTTATTCATTATAAACTATATCTGTCAGCATATCTCTGTAGACATCTTCATGTACATGTGCGAGTAGTTCCTTTATTTATTTTTTGTAATGTTTATTTATTTTTGAGAGAGAGAGCGTGTGCGTGCGCAAAAGGAGGAGGGGCAGAGAGCAGGGATCCACAGAATTCAAAGCAGGCTCCAGGCTCCAGGCTGTAATCTCAGAGCCTAATGGGGGGCTTGAGCTCATGAAACCATGAGATTATGACCTGAGCTGAAGTCGCACACTTAACCGACTGAGCCACCCAGACACCCCAATCCCAGGCAGGCTCTGCACTGCCAGCGAGAGTCCAATGCAGGGGCTCGAGCTCATGAACCATGAGATCATGATCCTGAGCTGAAGTCATATGCTCAAACAACTGAGTAGTTCCTTTAGTCTCAAGTAGAGCTCTGGGAACTGGTTCACAGGGTTTATGTGGTTATAACATGTAAATGCTGCCATACATAGTTCTAAATTTAGGCCAATGTAGTGTCCATTTCTTCATGACGTTGCTAATAGGGGACATCATCAGTCCTTTAGACCTCCCAGTCATGTCACTGTAAAAATATATTTTTTTGTTTGTTTTCTACACATCTTCGTAACTAATACTGAGGTTTAGTATCTTTTGGAAGGTTATTTCTATTTTTTATTGAATTGCCCTTGGTTAGGTTCCTCTCAATGAAGTAGAAATGTAGTCTTGAGAGGCAAAAACCAAAATTGAAAGATGGCATTTTAGTTAGAGAAATGTGGACTGAAAACAAAGCTTTGCCACTTAATAGCTGTGAATTTGGCCAAATGATTTCCTCCCTGAGCATTGGTTTCCTGATCTCGTGAGAGATGAGACTACATTGCAGAGCAGTGCTGAGGGTCATCGAGTGATGTATATGAAGCGCCCAGGACGTAACAGTTCTCAATGAATGGTGGCGGCTGACTGACTGCAGTGATAGGGATCCCACCTTGGATACTAAAAGAGAGGGGGAAGGTCCACAGGCTGTCATGTTACGAGAGGTCCTGATTGGGAAACAGAGTAGTGAGTGGTCTTGGCTGAGGAAAGACCAGTGCAGTTTTACAGTGGCAGCAAACAGGCTCAATCTGTGTGGTTTTCAGTCTTCACATTTAGGAAGTTCAGGCAGGAACCTAGAGGGCTCAAGAGGCCATATATAGATGGTATGGCCTTTTCTCAGCCCTGAAAATTTGTACTGGAGGGAGGAGGAGTCCAGTGTCAGGACCAGATCCACATTACTAGATAGGAAACTGGTCACAAGTCCAAGTTACAAGAAGTACTTGGTACAACTGGTTACAAGAAGTACTTGGGCTGCTATACCAAATCCATCATTGTTCAGCTGGGTTCCTTCAGGGCCTGGATTTCTTCAGACTTAGACTCTCCTCCAGTTTTCGTGGGTATGGGAGCAGGGTGGGTAGAGTGGTGGAGAACAGGAAGTCGGAATGGTAAAGAAAAAAATCTCATATTAACATTAAGTCATTTTGGAATCCCTGAGTTACATTTGGTTTCATGGCCTCTTTTGCTTCCAGATCTGGCTTATCTGGACTTTGCGGTTCTCCAAAAGAGATCTTGAAAAGGACTGACCAGTTCTTGCATTTTGAAACCATGGCCCATGTAAGTTAATGAGTTTTTTTCCTTCTTGAAATATTCTTGATCTCTAGGTCATGTGTACATACTTGTTCCTTATCGTGAAACTTCTTATTTAATAGAACTTTACCTAGAACCTTGCTGTCGTTCCTCTCATTCCAGTGAGGGTTGGGGACAGACAGCCCAGTGTCCTTTTTATATGCACTTCCCATTTTATCCACCAATGTGGACCGTCTCCTACCTACTACAAAATCTTCTGTCAAGAGCCATGAGTGAGCAAAAGTGAAATGCCTTGAGAAAAATTCAGGCATTCTCTGCAGAATGTCCCTTTGTTAACATTTCCCAATAAACAGATTTTGATTTCAATATTTAAACTTCAGAGAAAGTCTATTTCTCTGAATACAGTGATTTTTAGTCTGGTTATATGTAGGAAAAATTTGTGTCCCCAGTACACAATTTGACATCTTTTCAAAGTTTTTTTAAACTTTTTATTGGCATGTAACATACATAGAGGAAAGTGCATGAGCCGTAAGTGCGTAGCTGAATGAATTTTCATAAATCGAGCACATCTGTGCTATCAGCGCTCAGGTTGAGAAAGAGAATATATTACAAATACCTCAGATGTCCCCCTTTCAGTCACTCCCTACCCACCCAGCCCAGATATAACCACTGTTCTGACTTCTAACACCATAAATGAATTTTGCCTGTTTTTAGAACTTCATATAAGTGAAATTACATGGTTCAGTGCAACCTTTTTTCAGTGAAAAATAATGTGTGGGAGAATCTCATATTTCAAATATAGTTGCTAGACTGTTAGAACCATCTGCAGATGTTTTGAGATGCATGAAGACACCACTAAAGGGGATGTGTGTCTCTCGTGCTGCTGGTGATAAAGGAGGTGTCAGAGCATCATACTAAGTGTGAGACATCCTGCTCTTAACGTTCGTGTTAGAAATGCATTTTCATAATGTACTTACCATGTAGCTCCTCTGTAGTATAAAATGAGTTTCTAAAAAGATGGGAAAGTATTAAAGAAATTATGGGGAAGAAAACAAAGCAAGTACAGAAAAGTGAATTCAGTAAAAGAGACAAAATACAAAAGCCAAAGGTATGTGTGCAGTAACCCATGTGTACTATAATTCTATACTGGAGGGAAATGGAAGCTAGTTGGAGGCTTGGAATTGACGTATAATGCAGTGTAATTCTTTGCTTCCAAGTGATGGGAAAATAGGCACCTGTTTAATAATGTAGTATCAGAGTGTCTGATATTCAGGGATGGGTTATTGATACTAAGTGGGAGATCCTTGCTTTCAGTTTTTCCTGAAGATCTGTGGTTTGATGAAAGAGAATGCGGTCCTTTTTGACTGCTTACAGGGAAAACTCCAGATTTCTCCACAGACTTGAGTTTTCCAAGTACATATGATGAGATTTGGTTATTGGCTGGTCTCAGTCTCTTTATGTGTTGAGATCTCATGGTATGAAACGCTTTTCGGATTGGGTGGATTAGGCAGGGCTGTAATTGGGGCCTTGTATTATAATGCCTAAAATTTCATGTGCTGACCCGATACCTTTATCAGGGCTCCAGAGGCCTAAATGTGAGTTCCCCTGGCTCTTGCCAGAGCAGAAAAGACTCCCCCCCGGCTAGCTTTCATATCAGGCAGATGACCTAAACCCCTCCTGGTCCTCACTCTGAAGGGTTTCACCTCCCTGCCAGCACACAGAATTATTCAGACAAGCCGATCACATTCTATGGGAATCAGGGACACCTCACCCTCTTTTTACTACAAAGCCTGCCTCCCACAGACCCTGCTTGTTCACTCCATTCCTGAGTGCAACCCCTGTGTGGCCCTGCATGACGTGTGGTGTCCTCCTCCCCCGGGCTGTGAGTATACATGTCTAATAAATGCTGTCAGTCTCATCTGTCCAGCACCCAGTATTGAGCCACCTCATCCTGGTTAGGGTAAGGGATCTCTCCTTCACCAGCACGGGTGATTCAGAGGTAATGAGCAGAACTGCAAATAGAGAGATCAAGAATCATCTCCAGTAAACCCTAAGAGAAGAATACCAGGAGAAAAGTCCCTTGTGTAGTTTTACAGGATGTACTGGTTAGAGCAAGGTTTCTCAACTGTGGGAGTATTGATATTTTGAACCAGAGAATCTTTTATTGTGGGGGCTGTCCTCTACGTTGTGGGACGTCTCAGAGTATCCTTGACCTTTACCAGCTAGATGCCTGTAACACTCATACCCTTTTCCCCAAGTTGTGATAACCAAAACTGTCTCCACACAAGGCCAGATGTATTCTGGGGAGTAAAGTCACTCCTTAGTGAAAACCACTGGTCCAGAGTGATACCATCATGGTTCAGTATCCTCTAAATCAGGAATGAGGAAGGGTGTTCAGTGAGGGATGGTAGATGATAAAGAGTAAGAAGGTCATCCAGATGCATAAGTAATAGACAGTGCAGGCTGTGAAGACTGAGGAAGATTTTTGAAATTGTATGGAAATAAAATATCTAAATAGGAAAAGAGAAAGGTTGAATCTGATATATTAAAAATGTGGACTACTATGTAACAATTATTTTAAAGTTTACTAAAGAAGTAAAGTCCTTACAGGGAAAAATCTGACTTTATGATTAACTTGAGTCTGTTTTCTTAGAAGAGATACTGTAGTACATTTAGGAGCTGTTTTTATCAATATTTTTTTCATGATCATTAAAGGGCAAAGAAAGTGGAAGACCTATTTCCCATGAATTTGTGGTGGAGACACATAGCTTGCTAAAGGCTTGTGTGTACTGTTTCATTTAATTGGGAGTTTGGGGGGTCATTTTATTCATTTCCAGATATTTTGAGGTAGAAAATTAATCTTATCTTCAGCCAGAGGACTATTCAAGACACATAGCACTGTGCCTCAATGATGCTAATTTTCTTACTGTCCCCTACACATATATTTTCAGCACTACCCTATTTGCTTGTTCTGTGGCTCCTTCTCTGCATTGCAGTCCTCAATCTCCTCTCTTTTCTTTTAAAATATATTTCATTTATTTTCACAGGTGGTACATGAGTTTTTGTTTTTGTTTTTTTTCCCCCCAGGGTTCAGTGACATTCAGAGATGTGGCCATAGACTTCTCACAGGAAGAATGGGAATTTCTGGACTCGGCTCAGAGAGACTTATACAGGGATGTGATGTGGGAGAATTATAGTAATTTCATCTCACTAGGTAAGGCTATTTATCCCAAATTATATTGGCTTTCTCTACTGCCAATTTCAGAACTATAATTTGAGAAACGAGATAATTTTCTCTGTGTTCCAAAGGAATGGTTTCAGCTTTGTTAGTTTGGAGATAGGCCACTTCATCACTTTCATCCTGCTATATCCTTCATATTTTCTTCAATCTCTGTAATTTCCTTGTTTCATTGATATCCAAGGGGCTGGGTTTGAATTCTCAGTTGCTTACAACAGAAGCATTGTCTAAGAAATCAGATTTTATATTATATCTGAGCCCAGATTTGATACAAATGCTTACCACTCTTTCCTAATCCACCTGCAAGAAGAATACATAAACACAGGGGTTTGAGTCTGTCTAAAAACCAGGGGGAGTCTGTAAAACTTATACAGTATGAAATGGATCCACAAAGTTCATTCAAGTAAACACATTCTTTTTCCAATAACAGACATATTCAGTTCTACCTGCTTTGTGGTTGAAATTTAAAATCTAAGAACTTTGCATTTAACATTGAATGGATAATCCTATAAAGGATCAGAAGATGTCTCAGGAAGATATTCTCTTCTCAGCAAATTGACAACAATAAAAAAATTAATACACGCACCTACTAAATGTATATATACATATAACTGCATATACTTGTGCTTGGATACTATTCTGAGTATTGTACATTATTAATTATCACAACTCAGTAAGAAATATACTTGCATTATCTTCATTTCAGATGAGAAAACTTAGGCATAAGAGGTTAATAATTTGCTGAGGTAACACAGCAACAAAGGCAGCATTTGAACTCAGGCAGACTGGATCTAGATTCTGACCACCTCTCAAAAGAGTTTGGATGAGTTTAAATTATATTAAGGCCTGTTCTTAACCATTGATTCCTGAGGTTATCATAATATGAGTGCTCTTCAACTCCCTTGTATTTCTTTACTCTTAGGCTCTATAAAGTATCATTTTGATCTGTAATTAATGACAAATTTAGCCAAATTTGAACCTGACATTTGGACTTAACAGTTTCATGTCACATTACCTTTTAAACAGAACCTTCCATTTCTAAGCCAGATGTGATTACCTTATTGGATGAAGGGAAGGAGCCCTGGATGGTTGTAAGGGAAGGGACCAGAAGACACTGCCCTGGTGAGTGAGGGCCTAGCAGGATGGGGAATTAACAACCACAGGTAGTAGCTAAACCTGTTAGCCTTGAGAGGTTGTTGGAAATCTCTCTTTGAGAGCCCATGGCCTATTGAGAAAAGGCCTGAGGCCTGGGAAGCAAATTAAAATCTTTTTTTTTAGTGTTTGTTTATTTTTGAGAGAGAGAGAAAGAGTCAGAGTGCAAGGAGGGGAGGGGCAGAGAGAGAAGGAGACACAAAATCCAAAGCAGGCTCCATGCTCTGAGCCCAACATGAGGCTCAAATTCACGAACCGTGAGATCATGACCTGAGCCAAAGTCAGACTCTTAACCAACTGAGCCACCCAGGCGCCCCCAAATGAAAATCTTTTTTTTTTTTTTTTTTTTAATTTATTTCTAGGAGAGAGAGAGAGAGAGACAGCGTGAGCAGGGGAGGGTCAGAGAGAGAGGGAGTCACAGACTCTGAAACAGGCTCCAGGCTCTGAGCTGGCAGCAGCACAGAGCCGGACACAGGGCTTGAACCCACAAACCGCGAGATCATGACCTAAGCGAAAGTCAGACGCTTAACCTACTAAGCCACCCAGGTGCCCCGAAAATCTTTTAAGACTGGATTCCAAAGGAGCTTCCTGTTGACCTCAATTACAACTATTTTCTCATCTCTCATATTTTTTACCTACGACAAAGAGAGCACCTGCTCTCAGTAGAAGAAAAAAAAAAAGATGATAATAAACGTAAGAGCTGAAAAGATAGAAAAAGTAGAAAAAAGTTAATAAAGCCAAAAGCTGATTTCTTGAAAAGATCAACAAAATTGGTAAAAACCTAGCTTGACTCATTTAGAAAAAAAAGAAAGTGCTCACTTTGACAGCACTATACTGTCAAAAAGACAACATTAGTTTTTAACGCTAGGAATGAAAGAGAAACAGTTATTGCTTCACATCCTATAGCCATTAAAAGAATAATAAAAGAATACCATGAATAATTTTATGCCAATAAATTGAACATCTTAAGTGAAATGGAAAAATTCCTTGAAAAACATAATTACCAGAACTGACACAAGAAAAAAAAAAATGAGTAACCTTATATCTATAAAAAAATAATTGAATTCATAATCAGAAATCTTTGCACAAAGAAAACACCAGGCTCACATGGCTTTACTTGTGAATTATATTAAATATTTAAAGAAGAAATAGCAGCACTATTAACAAATTCCTTCATAAAAGGAAAGAACACCTCCCAACTCATTTTCTGAGGCTAGCATCACTGTTAACAGTGTGTCCTGACAAGGAATTCACTAAAGGGGGAAAAATTATGGACTTATTATCCTTCATGAACATAGATGTAAAATCTGTAAGAACATATCAGTAAATCAGGGGCGCCTGTGTGGCTCAGTCGGTTAAGTGTCCGACTTCGGCTCAGGTCATGATCTCGCCGTTCATGGGTTCGAGCCCCACGTCAGGCTTTGTGCTGACAGCTCAGAGCCTGGAGCCTGCTTTGGATTCTGTGTCTCCCTCTCTCTCTGACCCTCCCCTGCTCACGCTGTCTCTCTCTCTGTCTCTCCTAGAAATAAATAAAAAACATTTAAAAAAAAAAAAAAAAATGATGATCAAGTAGAGTTTATCCCAGGAATGCAAGCTTGGTTTAATATTATAAGTGTAAAAAACATTATGTGTAATTCACTATATTAACAGAAATGAGGGAAACCATGCAATTGTGTCCATAGATAGAAAAATAGTATATGACAAAATTCAAGATCTATTCATGATAAAAATTTTCAGGAAATCAGAAACTTAAGGGAACTTCCTCAAAAAATACTGTTAAAAAAAAACAACAACTACTACATGATAAACTTCATCATTCTTGATTGAAGAATTTTGCTCTAAGATTGAGAACAAGGCAAGAGTGCCCACTTTTCCCATATCTGTTTAACATTGTATTGAAAGGTCCTAGCATTGCAATACAGCAAGAAAAAGAAGACACATAAAGAAGTTAAACTGTCTTTGGTGATTATGTAGAAAATGAAATGATAGATAATAATAAATAATAAAATAATAAAATAAATAATGAAAAATAGAAAATCATAAGGAATCAAACAAAAGTACTCAAAGTAATAAGTGAAAATCACAGTAAGATCACAGGAGGCAAGGTTAATATATAAAAATCAGTGTGTTTTTATATACTGGGAGTGAAAAAAAATTAGGAAATTAAAGTAAATTAAGTCAATTTAAAAAATTGCAAGCAAATTAAGTCAGTTTACAATAGTGTCAACAAAAATACTAAAGAATAAATTTGATAAAACATGTAAGATTTCCACTAAAAATCATGGAATTGGTAACAGAAAGACCTGAATAAATGGAGAGAGATTATTTTGGGGATGAGAAGACTCAGTATTATTTTTTTTATTTTTTGTTTTTAATTTTTTTTAACGTTTTTATTCATTTTTTGAGAGACAGAGACAGAGCCCAAGCCGGGGAGGGGCAGAGAGTGAGGAAGAAACAGAATCCAAAGCAGGCTTCAGGCTCTGAACTGTAAGCACAGAGCTCAATGCAGGGCTCAAACTCACAAACCTCGAGATCATGACCATGACCTGAGCCAAAGTTAGCCACTTAACTCACTGTGTTACCCAGGATCCCCGACTCAGTATTGGTAAAATGTCAATATTATAGATTTTAATAAACTGATTCCAAAATTTATATGGAAAAACAATGGACTTAGCATTTCTAAAGTATTCTTAGAAAAGGAAGAATATGTTATAGGAATTAGACTACATGACTTCAAGACACTTTAAGATTTATTATAAAACTATGGTTATCAAGACATTGAGTATTGGATAAGGATCAACAAACAGGACAGAACAAAGATCCTAGAGTGGAACTTACACATACTTAAAAGATCATTTATTTTTTGACAAAGGCACCGAAGCATTCCAATGGGGAAAGGAAAGTTTTTTCAACAAATGATGCTGGAATAACGGGGGAAAAACATCTTCATCCCTACTTCATTCCAAAATTAATTTAAGATGGGGGTACCTGGGTGGCTCAGTCTGTTAAGTGTCTGACTCTTGATTTCAGCTCAAGTCATGATCTCATGGTTTGTGAGTTCGAGTCCTGCATCAGGCTCTTCTTGGGTTTCCCTCTTTCCCTCTCTGTCCTTCCCCTGCTCATGCACTCTCTCTCAAAATTAATAAATAAACTTAAAAAATTAATTTAAGATGGATTTTAGACTTAAATATAAAAACTATACTCTAAAATATAAAAAGCCAGATGTAGAAGTTAAATATAGGGGTCCCTGGGTGGCTCAGTGGGTTGAGCATCTAACTCTTGATTTCAGCTCAGGTCATGATCCCAAGGTCATGGGATCAAGCCCCATATCAGTGCCTGTGCTGAGCATGGAGCCTGCTTGAATTCTCTTTCCCCCTCTTCACCTCTCCCCAGCTTGCACATGCTCACTCTCTTTCTCTTAAATAAAGTTAAATATAAAAAATAAAATGTTTCAAAACTAAGTATAAATTTTATATAAAAAATATGAAAGCTAGGGGTGCCTGGCTAGCTCAGTTGGAGGAGCATGTGACTCTTGATCTCGGGGTTTGAGCCCCATGTTGGGTGTAGGGATTAGTAGAAAAAAATTAAAAATAACCTTTAAAAAATATATGAAAGCTAAATATAAAGCTTTTAGAGGAAAACTAGGAGAATGACTTATAAGCAAAGGCTTCTTAGGTAAAAGCAATAACCATAAAAATAAAAACTTGACAAATCAGACTTTATCCAAGTTAAAAACTTTAGTATACCAATAAAAATTATACCAATGTACCAATAAAAAAATTAATGGATAAGTCACAGACTGAGAGAAAACATATCCAACAAAGGAACAACATATACTACAATTCAACACCATAATGATAACCCAATTAATAATGGGTAAAAGTTACATCTATACCATAGAATAATGCTCAGCAACTAAAAGAAAGAAACTATTGATACACACAACAGCTTAGGTGAACCTCAAGGTAATTATGTTGAGTGAGAAAAACCAATCACAAAAATTTGTATACCACATGACCTCAATTATGTAATATTTATGAAATAACAAAATTATAGAGATGAAAATGAATTGATCATTGCCAAGGGTTAGGATATAGAAAAGTGAAGGGATGTTTAGGGCCATAAAGGAGTAACACAAGGGAGTCTTGTGGTTATGGTACAGTGAATATCTTGTTTGTGGTAGTAATTATGCAAGTTAAACATGATAAAAAATGTTTTAAGTTTTTATTTATTTTTGAGGCAGGGGGTGGGGAAGGGTCAAAGAGAGAGAGGGACAAAGGATCTGAAGCAGTCTCTGTGAGGACAGCAGAGAACCCAACACGGGGCTCGAACTCACAAACCGTGAGATCATGACCTGAGCTGAAGGCAGACACTTAACTGTGCCACCCAGGCACCCTACATGATAACATTTTTAAATTGCATAGGACCCTATACAGTTGAGCCTTGAACAATATGCATTTGAACTGTGTGGGTCCACTTATACATGGATTTTTCTCAACAGATACTAGTACAGTACTATAAATGTATTTTCTCTTCCATGTTTTTCTTCCTTATGTTTCTCTTAATAACATTTTCTTTTCTCTAGATCCTTTGCAGCCTCCTAAGAATCTACAGTTATTTCAAACTAACAAGTAAACAGAAATGTCCCCTTAGGGGTGATGGGTTAAAGATTTAAACAGAGAGATTTACACAAAAAGAGGGCTACTCTTTTTTATGATCAGTGATTATAATTCATGTATATTTAAATCTGTTGTATTAACTTGAGTTGCCATAACAAAATACAATAGACTGGGTGATTCAAACAACAGAAACTTGCTTTCCTATAGTTGTGGAGGCTGGAAATCTGTTGGGTGTTCCAGTGAGGGCCCTCTTTCTGGCTTGCAGATCATCCCTTCTCACATTGTCCTCATATGCCAGAGAGGCCGATAAGGCCACCGGTCCTATCGGATAAGGAGCCATATGACTTCATT